TTTATAAACTGCCAGAGTTTGTGCATACTGCATTTAGGTGTTTCCAAACCAAGAGGCCCCATCTGGGTGGCAGCGGGGCAATCAGGGAGGAAGTCGGGGAGACGTGGTAGGCAGCGATGATAACCACATGGAATACCACCATGCTGTCTAACCACAGGCCTACTATAGTTAATGTTTGCTTTGGTCAAATTTTTTGTCATCTGTGGTGGTTGCACAGTTGAAGTTGTAAGATTTTCGTTTTAAGGCTTGATGTTTGTTCTGTGTTACTGGGAAGGCAGGCTCATTTCAGTGAATAGGGGGAATGTTTACTGTGAAATTTCACTGTGGAAGTTCATTAATCTAATTCCGTAGTTAGACAAAAACAGCAAGGTCCACTTAGAGTTTAGCAAAAGTATTAATGCTTCATCCATTTATTTAAAATTTTATACAGGCCCACAGAGCCGCTAGGGTGGATTGCTCCTTTCTGACTTCAGTTAACTTCACACCTCACACACTCAATCAGACCTCTTTGAACGATTCATCTTGTTGCTTCAGTCTGTTCTTTACTTTGCTACTGTCAGCTGTCATTTCAGTGTTTGATCAATGCGATCCACTTCCATCACATTAACCTCCAGTTCCATCATGTCTCTCCAATAATGTATTTCAGTGAACTCATATCCAGGTTGTTATTCACCACCATCAGTGTCTTGACTGGATGTTGCTATACAGCCTATGACTGCCCACATAAAACAATGTCACAATGGGGTCCTAATCACCAAAACCTCCTTATTTATTTCTTTTTGCTTTAACTTAATTACTAATAACTAACTAATAACTCTTTAAGCCATCATGTGACCTAAGTATGTTTCTGACATAATTTACAACCTACTACAGATCAAGGCCAGTCATGTCAAACAGCAGACCATTTGAAGAGAGGGAGGTCTTGGCAGCCAGGAAGAGATGAGAAATTGTGAAGAAATAAAAGATTGTAAACATCAGTGGAGGGATTGTTAGCAAACAAGGGAACAGACAGTTTGGGGAAGGAAAGAACAAAAGAAGCTACAAACTCTCAAATCAAAAATAGTTTTACAGTGATGATACAAATGTTTGAGCTCCATGCTTCTGGGACAGAATGAGACAATTTTTTGGCAAAGCTTTTTTTTTATTTTCTTTGAAGTGTTCAGTTTCAGAGTCAGTTTTTTCGTGCGTGTGTTTGTGTGTACCTGTGTGCTTTGTCTTACAGCTTGGCTGATGTGATGTGTGAGGGCTTTTAATTTTAGATTTGATGACAGCTTTAACTCCCCCAACCCCCCAACAATGACACACACACACACACACACACACACACACAGACGCACACACACTGGGAAAAAAACACAACCTTTTACATGCTCAATTAAGCACTGATCTACCTTGTCAGTTAGAATTCAGGTCACGTGTAGGGGAAGCAGCTGTGTGTGTGTGTGTGTGATGCTTGTGCACACGTGTCTTTGTGTTTGTGTACATTCTCAAGCATGATTAGGCTGTGTGGGTATGACTGAAATTATACAGTATATTGCATATGCCTGAGCTCTCCTGTGCAGCATCTGTGGTCTGTGTATCTGTGGCAGTCGCCCTCTTCACAGCAGTAGAAAAAACTAAGAGAGAGCTTTGAAAAGAAGCTTTCCTTGCACTACTCTACTCTACTGGAACTTTACTGTGCTCAGTTGCAGTCTACACTTTTCCACTTTACAGTAAAAACTCTACTCTGTTTTTCTCTGCTCTACTCTGTGTGACTAAATACACTCTTCATTGCTCTCCTCTACAGATATTTGCTGTAACACTAATCTACTATTCACTATTATTTCACTGCTTTAACTACGTAGGTAGCTTCAACCATCATCTCTATCAATTGTGATGATAAAAATGACAGCTTCTGCAACATTGCTGAAAAACAGGTCTAATGGGGCAACAAGCATAAGATGGCAGATGATCAGACAGGTTGTTAAAAACAATTCTCAAGTTAGCCAAATGTATTAAGGAGAGAAAACCGAACAGAAAATTCCACCCCAAAACTGTCCACTGTACAGATCCATCACAGCTTACAGACCAACTTCCTGGTTCAACTTTGTCTTAATATATGTGAGAGCATTCACAGTTTTCCTGTGCAATGAGGGATTATTAGCTACATTATGGGTCCGTTTACTTTCAGTTTTATCTGCAGATAAAGTGGTAGCTAATCTGGCCAAACCGTCAGTTGAAATCTTTCTCATCATCTGGCCACTCATGCGTGTTTCCAGATCTCAGCAACCACTTTGTCGTGTACAGTGTCACCACATCTGACTGGACTGGTAGCCAGAGTATTTTACTTCCATAAAGTTGGGGCACTCACAAGAGACAGATTTGGGGAAAAAAGTAAATATTGAAGCAGCAGGGGCCTGACAAACCCTGGCTTTTACTTAAGGGTCAAGATCCAAAAATACTGGATCTGTCACGGCCTATCCGTGACTTAATGGTTTTATGAATACACACAGTTTCTCAGGTACACCTAGCTAAAACTAATGCAGTCTAATGCCCTAAAATAAATCGCACATTAAAAAAAAGTTTTAATGGTCAGTTTTTGTTGAAACTGTTTTAGAGAGGCATTGTGGTGCTGTTGAATTGTATTGCATTATACTGAGAGGTGTTTATGTTATTCTGTCTACCCCAATAAGGGTAAGCTAAGTGTATAGAGTGTATTTTATTCTGCTGTAACTCCACCAGTCTGCTCTCCCTTACTTGGTTTTCCTCTACTCATCACTACTCTGCTCCTCTCTCCTGTAACTCAGCAATATTCAAATGCAATTCCACACGGTGATGGAAATTGTAACATGATGAAAGAGTGGAACAAGTAGGTGAGCTCTTTATTACTTCATGGCTGCAGGTAAGACTTGCCCTAGTTGGCCTGATAATAGTGTGTTTCAGTATTATTGCCTCACTTTGCCTCCCTGTCACTGAGGGGAATCTGATTAAATGATCACGTTGATCTGCAGACTCACTCCTCAACCTACTTTACTCCAGTTTTAACCCTGTTTCATCATCCATGTCTTCTTTCTGTGTGGGTTTTTTTTTCCCCCAGCCTCATTCTGTTTCAAAAGCAAGTCGCTAACAAACATGCTCCACTTTCTGTCTGTATGTTAAAGGACTAAATTTCATAACAGAGTAACCACCTCTCATGAAGACTTTCATAAGGTCTTGTCTGTTATCTTTCTCTGCTGCTTCCTGTTGAAATGGAAAATGTGGATTACCTGTTTCCAATCACTACAAACACAGAATGCTATGCACAGAATAGAGTATAATGGAGGGTGTAAGGGGGTGCAGACAAGTAAAAAACCAAATCGGATCAAATTATAATGATAAAGGCCATAACAGATTGCTTCTAGATACAAAATGTGTGGAGGAGCAGCTGTGTGTGTGTGTGTGTGTGTGTGTGTGTGTGTGTGTGTGTGTGTGTGTATGTATGACTGACACCTCACTTCACCTACGATGGGTCGCACATGTTCCCCTAATTCAGTCCCCATTGCCATAGACACCAGTGTTACAACTGACCTGTCTTGCAATGTTAACAAAAGTGAATAATAACTTGTGTATCTGCACAGTGATTTAGTTTTATGATTTTAGTTTTTCCACAATCCTGCTCACAGACAAATGAACTGCACTGAAAACATAAAGTCCTTGGCAGAGGTAATGCATTGGATATAAAGGACAATTTCACAGTATTTAGCAGTGAGAAATAAAGCACCTTCTATAAACATGCTTTGCAATTACAAAAAAAGCTTCACATAAAAGCTGTTTTGTTGGTGATATTGATGAGATTTTTTTCCAAAAAAACTGTAAATTAACTCTGAAAACATAAATTAACTCCCTTGATTGTCTCTCTCTTTCACACACACACACATTTAACGCCTCTAATGAAAATGCCCATCTGTTTGTTTTTCCTAATTACAACACATTTGGCTTGTAAGAACATTAACACAGCGTGAATCCAACATATTTTTTAAAGCACATAACTCGCCTGAAAATATTGTGCATCTTGAAGGCATACCACTGCTAAAGTGCCAATTAGTGCTATACACACCCATATCGACTTTAGCTACATGGTCACGTTGCTGCCTGGGCCAGAGTTAGATGGAGACTGTACTCCAAAGAACGACAGCATCAGTTGTTTCAGCAACAATACTGTTTATGTGACATCATATTATTGAGCAATGTCGGAATAGGTGGATGGGTCAAGCATTGGACTTTAACACAAGAGACCACAGCTTGTTTCTCGTTTCAAACTGACAGTCAATTTTGTTTTATTTGAAAGTATCACCACAATCTTTCCCGGACCTTAACCGCAAATTTTTATTTTAACCATGATGACAAAACTCCTCTAATCCTAAAGGATCATTTCGGTATTTTTAAACCTGGGCCTTATTTTTGCATATTTTGGTGATGAAGTGACTAGTAGGCCTAGGTACAGAATGTTTAGGAATCCGTGCAGTAGACGGCTTCAACTTGCAGCCTAGCTCAAGGAAAATTCTCGCGCTGAAACCTCGTGAGGGACGAGTTGCTGCAGGAAGACAACAGTGGAAACATGAGTCAGAGTTGGAGAGAAGAGATTGTTGTGTTGGAGTAACATTAGGAAATAAAGTATTGCTAGCAGTTTCTCTATGTCACAACAAACTCCTCTCTCTCATTTCCACCAGCATTTCCTGCAACATCTCGCCTCCCCTGAGATTTCAGAGCAAGAACTGTCATTGAGCGAGACTTCTGTTTCTGGTTAAAAACAAGGGTTGTCACCAGGAGTCAACTGGGGGTTCCTTTCCATGACACCTCATATAACAGTCTAAGCCCGGCAAAAAGACTGCCGGCTGAAGAAATCTCCTGCACGAAGTCAAACCTTTTTGTACCTTTTGGTAATTTCAACAGCAAAATATGTGAAAATAGGGCCCAAGTTTAAAAACCATTTCAACCCAAACCATGATCTTTCCTTAAACCTAACCAAACCTTAACCATAGAGGTGTAACAAAAAAGATTTATTTTCTGAAGGCACAGGCAAATTATGCTGTCCAGCCAGTAGAGGAATCAGATCAGAAAACGCTTCTATCTGTGGTCAGAGGGCATGAACAACATATTTGGTTTTAATGTGAAGGACAACGGAACCGGGCTCAGCAGCCTCCCAGTGATCATGGCTGGACCTGGACTAAACACAGCCTCCAAGACCAAGACAACAGATAAAACAGTAATGATTTACAGGGGCTCCAACCAGGACTCTGACTCCTGGACGACGAAGACACAGCGGGTTCAGGCAGGCGTCAAGTGGGAGGGCAGCAAGAGACAGGTGGGGCATCAGAGAGGCAGCGACAGCATGTAGAGACAGAATATTTTCACATACACTTGATGAATTAAGGGATTAAACCAGAGTTGGTGATTGTTGGAACAGTGGAAAAACTAACAAAGATGGTGTTGGTGAGTTTTATGTTGCTTCTGTCGAGTTTGAAAGAAATGTGTTTTATGAAGTTAACAAGGCAGTTAGTTTAGTGAAAAAGAAAAACTTGAATTCAGAAAGTGTATGGTTTTATTTTTCTGTTTGAAAAGGGAAATAGGTGTAAGAATATAGCCTTTCTTGACATTTTTTAAATTTATTTAGTTTATTTTTTGGACTTGGACTCAGGCTCAGAGAGCTTGCGTAACATAAGCTAGCTGTTTCCCTCTGTTCCCAGTCTTTGTGCTAAGCTAAGCTAGCTGCTGGTTGTGGCTTTATATTTAACAGACATGAGAGAAACAAGTATCATCACAGCCAGTAGTAGTTTGCGGTGCCTAATGTTAGTAGTACTAAAATTACCCAAATACAGCTGCTAGCAGGCAAAGAGCTGAGTGACTAGAGCATAAGCAATTCTGTTTTTTAAATCCTCAGTCCCTTCACTCCATTAACTCTACGATTTGCCCTTCATGTCTCATTGTCATTCTGTGGAACCTGGTCCTTCATTTGTCCACTAGACTCTTAACATCTTTCTCCTCGGTCTCCGCTGTGTTGTTGCTGTCTGTGTGAGTATTATGCAGACAGGCCTGTCAATCCTTCAGTAGCAGAAATACCAATCTTTTGCACTGCTGCAAATCACAGCATCATCAATTTGTCCTTGACTGAATGCTCAGATACCTTAAAGCAAAAGAACAGTAAATTCACCTTCTTCCCCATATTTCTTTGATTTTTAGGTGAACGGCTGGTATACCTGCACATATACACACACAGACCTAACCAGCTGGCTTACAATCCCATTGACCCCTGCTCTTTAGCCTACTGGGATAAAAAGGTCAGTCTAATTGAAACATTAGCGGCCTCAGGAGAGCTGAACTGGGCTGAACTGTGACATTCACTGAGTCCAGAGACCAGGTCGTCCCCTTTTGCTCTCTGTCTTCTCCCTCCGTAGGACACTGTGCCGCTAATGGTCTCGTCACTGTAATGCAACCACTGTGTCTCACATCCACAGCTCCCTTTTCTTGCTCTCTGCTGTCACTTCTGTGCTAACAAATGTTTGGAGGAACTTTCTTGAAGGACACCAAGTTGCTGCTGCTCATCCTCAGTGCTTAATTACACCTCAGGGTCATCTTTGACTCGGCTGACAGACAGAAACCGATGAGCGTGGCTTCTCAAACTTTTGTAAAACCTCTGACCAGGACTAAATTCAATAAAATTCTGGTTTGCAGTCCATTAATTTTTTTGTTGTTGATCTGAAATATTTTCTGTCCTTTCTCTCTGTTTTAATATATGTCATCTTTCACATGAGATACAATATAATTTCAGCTATGGGAACTAGAAAAGGTGGGAAAATTCAGGATGATGTTGTGGCAGCTCATATAGAGATATTTTAGGGCCATCTAGTGGAGATAAACAGTGTCACATGATGTGTGGTACTTTCTACATAACACTTGACAAAGCAGAAGTGCTCCACTGGGAGATAAAAGAGACAAAAAGATACATTAACATAAGAAAGGAGTATGCAACCCACAAAATAAAAGGCATAAAATTAAGAGGAAAGACAAAGAAACAAAATGCTTTTTCACGTCTGTGGGATGGACAGATGCAGTTTCTTTATTCTCAAAGTGCCACTGGATCAAGTATGTGCATATGATCAGTAAAAAACATGACATGATGAGCTGTAGTTGGTCTTTAGAAGAAGAACCGGAATAAAAATGATATTGTGTTGTATCAAACAAGCACTGAAGAGATGCGACATATTTCATTTTAAATGTACGACTTGTTTACTGTCTCTAATAAGATGCCTGTTTATGACTTTTATTGAGTGTTGGAAGTACTTTTATTCGAGTACTGCACTTCAGAATAAATTCGAGTATTTCCATTTTATGTTACTTTGTACTTTTTTGCTTTTTATCAGCAGACAGTGTTGGAAAGTAACAAAGTCTATTTACTCAAGTACAATTTTGACTTTGCATTTCCATGCTGTTTTGTACTTCGACTCCACTAAAGACAAGTAATGTACTTTTTGCTCAACTACTTTTATTTGGTACAATTAGCTACTAGTTACTTTGCATATTCAGATTGATAATACAAAATGTAATCAACAAATAATATGTATTAATAATTATATTATTCATTCATAAAAATATTTATTTTTATAGAATACATTAATGCTTCCTGTGGGGTATTTACAAGCTACTCAGCGAAATAAAGTAACCTTTACCAGCTGCATCGTTAAAGTTAAGGTAACGTCCAATCATTTCATTCGGACCAAATTAAATGATTGGCCTTGCTTATTACAATCCTACCACAGCCACAGATACAGGGTTCTTTTCATTTTTGTGTCAGAGCATTTGAATTATTGATTGCTGTGGGGATGTAAAGTTTATTTTAACAAATATAACCAAAAAATGCCTCTGAAATAAATAGCCTACCCCAGCTTTAAAGCAATTTACACATTAATGCATCAATAAATATAATTCAATAATAGAATAAACATGATTCTGAAATGGGCCAATCAGCAGTAATAGTACTTTTAGTTTTTTTGCTTTAAGTATATTTTGATGCTAATACATTTGTACTTTTACTTAAATATAACAGAGTTTTCTACACTGTGGTACTGCTTGCTTAAGTAAATAATCTGAAGACATCCTCCACCACTTTATGATGGTGGAAAATATTAACCGCTTTATACAGTAGCCTACAAAGCGGTTAAATTTAACTTTATCTGAATTATCTAAACAGCAATAAAATGTTACTAATCAATGAAAAAACAAAAATATAATAAGAGAAGAAGAAGGAGAAGGGTTATTATAATAATAAGTAAATGAATATTACCATTTTTTTAAGTAAAGGTTCTGAGTACTTCTTCCATCACTGCTTTTATATAAATCTCTTGATTATGAGCACATCCAAACTTTTCAACATGCAGGAAAAATCTGTGAAATACCTGAAGTCACAAATAAAAACCTCCGACTTCAGTTAAAGTGATCAGGATCAGAGTTTGCACATGTTGTCCAACAGGGGTCACCCGCTGCCTCTGGAGCTGCCTGTTCATGAGGCAGCACCACCTCCCATTCATCAATCTTCTTTTATTCACATTGACAAAAGAGACATCAAATAGGGAGGTGTGGGAAAACACAACAATGCATTTCAGAACACAGACACTGGCTAATATATGCAAAGTGGGAATAAAACCAGCCTAGGCGCTCAGTGTGTGTGTGTGTGTGTGTGTGTGTGTGTGTGTGTGTGTGTAAATGACTAAATTAGTATTTATAATTTACTTGCCATTTTTCTCTGTAAATAAAATGACAATAAACTGTTATATAGACAATTAGGGACTCTTGACACTCATTCAAACAGGGAGTAGGCCTACTCATACAGTGATACAATATTTGTGCTCTAAAATGGTTAATAAAAACAGTTTTTCCGAATCCACAGTCCGCAAAATAAACCTGAAATGATCTGTCGATCTCCTAGCTGGCTGCTCACTGTTTCCCACCCAAATCAAAAGGGGCGAGTTGTAGGGGGTCATGTCTGGCCACCCCTCAGGAGAATAACGGGGTCTCTGTCTGCCCCCCAAACCACCAACGGTTCTCCACTGTCCCTATGGCAACAGCCAAGGACCCTGGAAGCCCCCCAGACTGGGCCGTCCAAGCAGATGCCCATAATTAACGTTGCTATACGGAGGTGTCAGTCCTGCCAGTCTGCCTTACATGGAGGCAGACCCTCTCCCAGACCTGTCAGAGGCCCATAGAGCTGGGTGAAAAATGACTGCCCTGCGGTGTGTGTGTGTGTGTGTGTGCGTAGTGCGTGTGCGTGTGTGTGTGTGTGTGTGTGCGTGTGTGTGTGTGTGATGTGGGTTGGGGGTGGGTAATGACAGAATCTGCCCAATCCTCCTTAAGAGTGACCATCATGCAGTGGCAAAAAATAAAAAGGATTTTGTTTTGTTTTTTTAGTCAAGACCATCTCTAAAGAAACATCTGAGAAATGTGTCACTTGTGCAAAAGTCAAACTGAAACAAAAGAGCCATAAACCAAGTACAAAAGATTAACTTTAAATCAATGAAGCTCATATGAAATCATTAGTACATATGTTAAAACATTTGTGAAGTCACCTTGGTGAATATGTTAAGTTCCTGCTGACATGCTGTCGAGAAACTGACTGACTGGGTGTCTGGCTGACACGGGTGGCTGAAGATGAGATTGTGTCCCGTCATCCTCTCGTACAGCCAAGCTAAAGATATGGAGGGATCAGAAATCTCCATAAGAACTGAAACAACCAGACCATGGTAATATACACCAGGCTTCTGGACATGAATCATTTCACCAGCATTTTGAAGATTCATTATTGCACCAAAACACACACACACACACACACACTTTTGACCACTGTACGTTAAGAAAAGACTGCTTGGAAAAGTTCTTTAACACTTTATTTTAAACCCCCTATATTTAGGAGTTATAAGCAGTATTTAAACTGAAGAAAAAGTTTTATAACATACTTCAGTGTAGTTAGATTAGATTAGATATTAGATAATGATATATCATTAGATACGTGAGAATTTTTAAGTATGGATGTATTTATCAAGAACTATAACTCCTACAAAGAAGCATCAGTAGCTTATTAAACAGATAATGACTGATTGACACAATAATCCCAGCGTAATAATATAAAATATGTCTTCATCTGTATTTAATTATCTGTAAATACTTCTTCACTGACAGAGACAACTGAACAAACTCCATCTGCTTATGAAGGCCATGGGATGTGGCTGAAAGCTCTGGAAGAAATCTAGAATCTAGTTTTTCAAACTACTACCATTCTACATTAAAACACCTCTAAAAACACCAGTAAATGATTTATATGTCTATGCAAACAGTTAATAAATTTATATTTATTAACTGTTGGGATTTTTTTCACACTATTACAGATATGTTATTCTGTATATTTAATAATGGGTTAAAACGTTTATGCCAGTTATGAATGTTCATAAGAGGAATTATATTAAAACATTAATAGCAAAAAATTGCCTTACATATGCTTCCAAGTACATCATGGTGTGTAATGTATAAAGTGTGCATACAATAAATGCTAAATGGTGGCTTTATAATAATGTGTTACAGTATGTTATTTAAGTTTGTTTTTCTGCTGGCAGTATTGATTATAAAAAAAAACAAAAAACATCCAGCTGGTTTTCTTGCTTCGTGAGCCAGATCACATTGATCAGATTCAATGATCCACTGAGACGACATCGTCCCTGTGGTTTCCTGCCTCGACAGGTCAACTGATCAGTGCTGACTGGGTTAAAGACACATCCGTCTGCTGTCCGGCAAGTGACACCAAAGGTCACCAAATGCACTATCCACAAGTCCACGAGTTCATCAACAGCCCTGTGGTCACCGGCACGCTCCAGCGGAGGGGGGTCAGGGGGGTCGGGGGATTGTCTCACCTCTGACCTGGCCAGCCCTCTTTGTGGTCATTACATAATATGATGTTTCCCTCCACACTGATGAATCTGTTTCTTTCTGCAGGACCACTGAGGGCTGCAAGTAAAATGTCTTTATGGGGTTGTTCAGCTTTTAAAGCCAAACTGAAGAGGTCAGTAAAAAGGAGGCTAGTGAAAAGGTATATGGGCTTGTAAAAACAAAGCTGCATGCTGGTTCAGAGGTTCAGTGACTCGTTTAATTTTAGTTTGTGTTATTAGCTGTGGGACCACATTGTACTGGCTTAAATTGCAGATCTAAGTTTTAACTTTTTAAAATCTACAAACAAACAATTACAAATTATATAAAACAAAGGGTAGCCTACATTTAGTAGTACTAACATGAACGTATAGCCTAGGTGAAATAAGGATCATGGTGGAACAAATTCCTGATATGTTAAACTCTTCACTGATCACAGACAGAACTACACCATCCAAATCATGAGTGAGGGATTTATTCCCTTAGGGGTCGTGGGATCCACAAGCCAGACACTGTTTTATGGGACCTCAAATGCAGGAACATGGGGAGGTGGGACGGGGCTGTCTGGGACTGAGCCAGTCAATTATACTCCGGCTAGACACATCACACTTACATGCCATACATGTGGGAATCTTCTGCCTCTGACTCACACTGAGCTCCCGCTCATGTGGACAGACACCTGGTCCTGGCTGAAAAAAACTGGAGCTGCTGATTCCCACAGTTTGATTTACATGGTGTAAAATAAAATTACATGAAACATTTACAGATGTTT